CACATGCCAGCCAGCCCCACCCCCCTGGTGGGCTGAGCTGGCCACACACACACACACACACACACACAAATAAATAAAATTAAAAAAAAAAAAAAAAAAAAAAAAGGCTGCTTCTCTACCGCCCAACACAACCATCCTTGACCTGCCTGATCACGTGGCACTCCTGTAGCTCTTGTTAGGGCAGCGCTGGGTGGGCAGCACAAACAGCAGCTAGGATCCCCAGGTGTCACTGTCCATGAGGGTCTGACACTCCTTCTGCTGTCTGGGGGTTGATGGGCACGTGGGCTCCTGGGAGACTAAAGCTATGGCCTTGGTCACTACATACACCACTGGCCCGAACCATGAATGTCCCAAGCCAGGGACAGTGCCACGTGAGAGGCCTGCCATCCCTGTTGGCAGGCAAGGGGCAGAGCTGGGGGCATCCAGTGAGGGTGATGACACACTGGACCTGGGGCCGCATGGTCACTGCCCTGAGCTGTCTCTCCCAGGTGGACAACAACCTCACTGTTCCTCTAAGGAACCCCAGGAGGCGGAGCCTGGGCAGCGGCGGCCTACCTGGAGCGGGCTCGTTTCCTACTGGCCCCAGGGCTGCTGCTCATCCGGTAGGCAGTGGGCATGCTTCTCTCTTCCCGCCGTCTCTCAGGGGAGTGGGCTCTCCTCCGAGGGGACCGAGAACGGGACCTGCATGGAAGACGATGGGTGGTAGGTGGGCTCTGCAGCCGGGGCCCTGCTGTATGTCCCTGTGCGCAAAGACCAGACCCCGAGGCTCCTGCAGGTGCAGCAGCACAGCCCTCGCCTTTGCAGCCCTGCCGTCAGAGCTCCATCCCTTGGAGGCAGAGGCCTACCCCCACCCCATGCGGCGGGCCAGGGCCAGCCCAGGGGGGCTCCTCCTCTTCCACTCCCCTCCACCTATGGTTTTCCACTCACAGATGCTGCAGCAACAGCTGGTGCGGGACGGTGCTGAGACCGCGGGCCATACACCTGTCTGAATACTGGCCCGTGAGATCCTGAAGGCCCCAGAGGTAGAGGGCTGTGCCTGGAGCTCTTGCCTCTACTGACCCCAGGCTGCTGTTGGCAGGAATGGGTGGGAGCGTGCTTTGGCACGCTGGCATGGGCCCACACCTTAGCTCACGCTGGAGCGTGCTGTCTCACACGGTGGGGGCTCAGCTACTGCAAGGCCACCCCAGCCTTCCTGCCTCCTTCCTGGGGTTACAGGACCCCTCTGCCCAGCCTACATGGGGCACAGAGGGCCCTCAAGCGCCTTGGCTGCCAGAGGAACCAGGTCCTCAGTGTGGACTCCCCTGTATGGCACTGGGACTAAATTTTTTGTTGTCAATGAAATTAGTGCTTCAGAAAAATCTGCAATAAGCAGAAGTCTAGGGGAAAATTCATTTCTCCCCACTGTTTCCATGACAACCCATACTCAAAAACAATACAAGAACAGCAGCTTGATTTTTGTCATTTAAAAAAGTTCTCCACTGAAATCATTTTTGTTACATTAATTAAAAGCCCCAAAACAACACATACAGGTGTGGCAAGATCACCCCGCCAAGCCATCCTGAGCACCTGGCCCCCAGCAAGGCTCCTGTGGAGTGGCACTTGTGAGGTCTACCTCCCCGACCTGCCCTAGGGTTCCTACAACAGGTTACAAAGTGAGGGCAGTTAGACACCTTGACATTTTACCAGGCTTTCCCTCAAAAGAGCTCCGGGAGTCAAATCTGTCCAAGGTCGAGGCTGCCTGACAACTCTCTCGCTGGGCTGCTGCTGCCACTGCTGCTCGGCTCTGACAAGGCTCCGTGCTCGGGGTCCCTGGGGAGGCCGTGTGCCTGTGGTCGGAGGCACACACTTCACGCTCAGAATGGGCTGTGCCAGGCGGGGCGCTACAGAACTCAGGAAGGGCTCGCTTACCAGAGTTCTAGCACCTATGGAATGCTTAACACAGGAGTCTACAGTAAGCTCAGGAGGCAGGACAAATATATTTGCTCTTAACACCTACAGACTCGTGACTCTACATACAATACCTTGTGGCATGGCTATCGGTGTTAGACTTCTTCAGTGAAGTGCTGTCGCAGACTTCCCATCAGCAGGGAAGAAAGCCCACCCCACAGCTGGGAGCAGGAATAGCAGTAGGTAACTCTTCCCGTCAAAGAACGCAGGGATTTGTATTCTGCTAGCCAGGCCCCTGCCCCGCTACCAGCTCTCACGAAGCTCATCTACACAGTGGCAGAGGCTTCTTAAAGACAAAATCGCCTTGGTTAACAGTGCAGAGCGTCTCTGCTCGGTTACATACAATCATAAGGGCTTGCTCTCAAAGGTGTAAGGAGAACTTTTTCTGTGATACAACTCCAGAAATTTTATCTGAGTGACAATACGTATGTTCATAAATAGCTGTGTTTCCCCGATGCTCAACCACTGGTCTGTTCCACTCAGGGTGCCACTCCCAGGCCTTCCAGGAGCTGGGGAAACTGCAGGTGGCCTAGTGCCAGGGTGGCTCTCCACCACACAGCCAGGAGGCTCCCAGCTTAGTCTAACCAGGCAATGCAGAGCCCTGGCTGCACCTGCCGGGCACCGTTCATTTCACAAGCTACAGCAACTGTCCCCACACCAGCAGGGTCACTGGTACCAAACTGGACCCTGCAAGTACCAGTTTCTTCCTTTAGCAGGATTAAAAGACTGAATTATCTTTTATTGGTTTGCTGTGCAGTTTATCATATGGAAAAAAAAAAGGCAGTGGAGAACTGTAATTTTTAGATTTAAAATCTGACCTCAGTTTCACCCAAATTATTATTTCTGCTCAAACTAACTATTAAAATAGCCTGGGCTGGGGCGATAGCTCAGCAGTCTAAGTACCTGCCTGGCAAGCACAAGGGCCTGGGTTCTACCCCTAGTTCCACAAGCTGTGCTGGCCCCAGAACCCTGGGCAGGTGGGGCTGGCCACTGAAACTGGCCATGCTGGCGCACGGGGGCGGCTGAGACAGGAGGATCACTACAAGCCCAAACTATGTAGTGAGACCCTATACAAAAATAAATGAATAAAAGATTAAAAAAAAAAATACCTATGCTAGCCCCAAGGCTCCCTGGGGGGCTGGGCTCCAGAAACTCAGGTGTTCACATTTGGAACCCAGGCCGGGCCGGGCCAGGCAGGGCCGGGAGCACCCAGACACTAAGATCAACGCTGAGCAGTCTTGGCTGAAGTTTAAGAGCAGATGCAGTTCTGGGCTTTACACCTGTGGTGCAGCTTAGCAATACCTGCATCTTAGAGCTAAATTTCAGTTTTAGATGTGAGTAGACGGCATGAATGTGTCTTCATTCCAAGAAGACAGAGACTGCCTGCTGTCACACACAAATGGGAGCGGGCACAACACAGGAAAGAAGAGTCCTCCGCTCCTGCCAGCGTGGGGCACGAGACACCAGACCCAGGGTGCCCGTGGTGATCCCAAAGACTTCTGTTGTGACTCACTTGCTCCTGGGTTCTGTTCACCTTTCCTCTGGAGTAATGAGGAAATGGGGCTTCAGCAGTGTAAGTGGTCCCACAGTAAACAGACTCACCATAGAAAAGCGCCTCTAGACCTACCACCCTGCACTATCTATAGGACCACAGTGACTCAGTGCAAGAAAGAGGGTTTCATTTGAGTGCATGCCACCACAATTAGACATGTCCACAAAGGTGGCTTTTTACTCTGAGCTGGGAGCAGCCTAACAAGGACCAATCAAGCCACTCAGGTCAAAAGCCCAGTCTTCCTACGGCGACAGAACATCAGTAATGGCGTCTATAATGGGTTATGCCAGCTGAAGAGGCAGTTTTAGAAAACGTACTAACAGAAGAGTAGCACTTCAGTATTCTGATTGAAACGTTGTTTTCATGTCAGTAATCTCTACTAAGGAAGCAAATGCCATTTGCACATTTTATGTGCAGCTGCAGCATTTGAAATCCATTTGCATCCCCAGCATGCCAAAGGCCAGCCAGGCTAGGACTCAGCAGGTCATCTGCCTCCGTGTAGAGGACCACAGCCCAGCCAGCAAACACTCGTACCAGAGGCAGAAAACCACAGTGGCTGAGCGGGCCGGGCAGGGCTGCCCGGGGCAAGCCCTCAGGCGCCAGCTCCTAGGGCCCAACGCTTCACACTTTCTGTATTCCACAACTGGACGGCTAATCAGTCCTTACTGCAGACTGAACCCAAAGCAGTCTCACTGAGCTGCGTCCTCAGCCCATCATCATCACCATCGTTGTCATCATCGTCACTGTTTCAGACAGGGTTGCTATTTCATTCAGTTGTGCAGGCTGGGCTCAGCCTCACTGAGTGCTGGCAATGTCTTTTATAATAAAAGTCATACTTTGATTTTTTTGGTATTTAGTACAGGGTCTCACTACATAGATCAGACTCGTAGTGATCCTCCTGTTTTTCAGCCTCCCAAGTGCTGGAATTACAGGCGTGTGCCACCACACTCAGTCTCATTCCCCTCTTAGTGTGCCTTGGGGGTGGGGCTGGCATGGCACACCAGGGATCGAACCCTGGTCCTTGTGTATGCCTAAGAAGGCACTTTAAGCCACTGAGCTACCTGGCCGGCAGTAAGGCATGCTTATGTGTAAACCTAAGCCTATTAAAAAAAGAAAAAAAAATTTTTAAAGAAAAAGTAACATAAAAAATAATTTATCTATTGCACAATAGTACAAAGAAGATATTGCACCTAGCTCCTGACACACCATGGTGTGAGGGACACAGCTACTCAACCCCAGCAGGGACAGTCTGGGGCCGTCCTTCGCTTCCCCAGCCATAGGGAGGTGGCCCTTCTGCACAGGCCTCTAGGTGCTGGTGTTGGGGTGGCCCCACCTGGGGACCATGGAGGACCCCTGCCTTTGCCTCTGAAAGCAGGACAGAAGAGTTCTCTGGGCACAGTGTGCTTGGGGTCTGGTTTAGGCTCCTGGCACTTCCTTTCAGCTTTATCACAGCATAAGAAACTTTCTCAAGTGAGAAATTTTCTACAGTTTTTATTTGCAATACAAAATACTGGGAAAATAAAATTCAGAAACCAAAAATATGTGAATGAAGGTATTCAATTAAATTAGGACTTGTGTGTGTGTGAGTCACAGCAGTGCTAAGGACAGCCCCTATCCAGGAGGCCCACACCGTCCACTGTGCCCATGTACGTATGAACTGCTAGTCTCTGCACTGGGCACTGCAGACAAGTGATGTTATAGCCTGCTCTGCACGTCCCGCGAGAACTCAACTTCACTTCCAGGAGTGCCCTGTGCTGCAGCCGAGTGTGGGAGGGAGGTGCTTGGAGTCTGGTGCATCTGGAGACTCCAGGGGCGAGTTGGGGCCCAGGAACTGGCGGCCTCTCTGAACTTCATGCAAGTGGCCAGCTCTGCTCTTTGCTTTTGGTGGGGAACCCAGAACCTGGCACTCAAGCCAGGCCTTTCCACAACTCAAGAGAACCCTGGTGCCACCTCCCTCCTCTAAATTTTACTGAGACAGTCTTGCTAAGCTGCCTAGGTTAGCCTGGAACTTGAGGTCCTCCTGCCTTATCCTCCTGAGCAGCTGAGATTATAGGGGTGCGGAGTGGTTTATTTTTAAACTGTATTGCCAAGTAGTAAATTCTGTTCGCCACTGCTGTTGCCGGAGACCTTACAGCATCTTCTCCAAGGGAGGCCAGGGAAGGCTCTGTGCTACAGTGGGGACAGACTGGGCACAGACCTGTCTGCTGCTATCTCTTCACACACCTGTGGATGCTGTGGGTCCGAGCAGACTAGGAAGTAAAGATTTCTTCTGCTTTGAAACTGACACATATGAGAAACCAGCACAGAGAGATCACCCACAGAAGGACCCAATATCCATCCCATGCAATTTTTGCAGGTTGGAACAAGTACTAGGCTGGTTCCTGTGACCTGCTACCATTTAAATAGACCTTGCATATTTCTTTAAAGGCAGCAGTAGCTAAGGAGTTCAGTGTCGGGTATGACACCAAGAACAGGACAAGGGCACGGGCATGCTAACATCCACTGTAAACTTCTGCCCCACTCTACTGGGTGCGCACCAGGTCAGGCAGGGTCCTGTGCATGGGATACAAGACCCACAGGATGCCAGGGCCCTGCACACTCACCTTGAACGCCGCACCGTCCGGTAGGCACTGGGAAGCGAGTGCTTTGCTTTTGTGTGGGACCTGGACCTGGACTTCGATGATGAGTGATACTTGGGAGAGCGAGATCTAGTCCGAGACCGTTTTTTGTGCTTCTTCTTCTTCTTTTCTTTCTCTTCTTCCCTTGGTGGGTCTCTGCTTTTGCTGGAAGGCCTTTCTTGTGACTTCCCTTCTGAAGTGGGCAGCGGTCTGCTTCCAGCCAGTAGAGGACAGGGTGCGGTGCTGGCTTCCTGAGAACAAAACAAACCCGTGGCTTCAGCAGAGAGATACGGCAGCAAGGCGCGCAGGCACCACCACCACAGGCCAGACCCTCACTTGGCAGCACTCCGCTCGAGCAGGAGCACCCAGCCCCAGCTGGGTGGCAGCTTGCCCGCTTTTCCCAGGAAGGTGGCTCGGTGGAGAAGCCAGCCTACCCTCGTGGCAGTTTGCCCAAAATGCCTTCGAAGCTTCCTCAAGCACACTGCCACAGCGTCCAGCACTCAGTTTCTACGAGTCAGAGGTCTTACCCAAGCTGCTGCGGTGCTAGGGGAGGGGGTGCCGGTCTGCAGAGCTCAGGCCACTGGTCCATAGGAGGCGCCCTGGGCTCTGGCTCTGGGCAGGAGCGCTGGGGCTGCCTGGGCACATGTTCCCACCAGGACACTCCTCTGCTCACGCAGTCACAAACACCACCTGCCTTGCACCACGTGCCCCAGGGCCCAGCTCTATGGATCAAGGAAAACCTCAGGCACGTGCCGTGCAGGAAGGGCTGGCCTTCCTCCCAGGGCCACTCCGATCAGGCCAGGGAAAGGCGCTGCCCATGGGCTGCTCTGGCCCGTGCTGCCCTCCTGCCCACGTGCCTCGTGGGCACTTCTTGCAGTCTGGGGGGCAGTGCAGATCCCACCACCGTGGGACCTCCTTTCCAACATGTATACCACAAGGTTCTTTTAATTCTGGCCTGGGGATTGAACCCAAGGCCCTTGCTCATGCAAGGAAAATGCTCTACCACTGGGTCACACCTCAGCCCTTAAAACAAAAAAATGTTTTAAAGTTTTGAGACAGGGTCTAAGTTGCCCAGTCTGGCCTCAAAGGTGCTAGCTGCCCACCTCACTCTCCTGAACAGCTGAGAGGACAAAGGTGTATGCCCGGGGCTTGGCTCAGCATGACAACTCTTTTTTTAAAAATGTATTTAGTGCAGGGTCTGACTACGTAGATGGGACTTGTAGGGATCCTCCTGTTTTCAGCCTCCCAAGTGCTGGCATTACAGGCACGTGCCACCACGCTCAGTCTCAGTTACCGGCCCAGGGGCAGGGTTGGCAGGGCACACCAGGGATCAAACCCCAGCTGCTGCGCTCTGCTAAGCAGGGACATTAGTCCCCTGAGCTACCTGGCTGGACCAGCACAATCATTCTTAAGGCTTTGCCTGGAAGACCTCCAGGGCAGCCAACTCCGTGAGGACAGTTCTCATCAAGAGGTCCTTTCTCAGCCAGCCCTTAGACAGTACCTTCCCAGTTTAGGGTTAGAAATACTCAACACATCCAAGTCCTGCTGGCCAGCCTTGCCTGCTGGCTGGCTCTGCTTCACTCTGACTCTTAGGTTCCCTTGGAATCGTGGCCCTGCAGGAAAGGAAGGTGCTCTGGCCCAGCAGCTGTGCACACTGCCCACAGCCTGAAACGCTGGGGCAGCCCCACAGGAAAGAGATCTGAATGTGAGCTGGGTCCCAGAAGACCACTTTCTACATGGCAAAGACCCATAGTCCTGGCCTCGCCCAAGAAGCATAAACCATGATAATCAAGGCCAGACTGGGTTGACAGAATTTAACACCACAATTTCCAGCCCCGAGAATCCCTGTGGAGTCAAGTGGCTGCCAGCTTTTCAAATATGAGGCCCAGAACATCCCAGGAGGGAGGGAGGCTGGGACACAGCCCGCTTCTCACTGCTATGTGCGAGGGGTGGCCAACTCTTACCACGCACCTTATTCACGTCATCAGTGCCACATGCTGCAGCCACAGGGTCACAGCATAGCGTGTCGTGTGTCTAAGCTCCAGGACTGTTCCTTCCCCTGCACCTGAAGCGGTGCCTGTCCTACCACCCCTCCTTTACTCCCCTGCTCTGAATGCTGAGTGCCCTGATGATATAAGGAGATGGTCAGAACCAACACTTTAAAATACAATTTACACTCAGCCGTGAGATCTGTGTCTCCCAGTGATCATCCTTTCCAGGTGCAGTAGCACAGGCTCGTCATCTTAGCCTCTTCCTGAGGTTGAGGCAAGAGGATCTGAAAATGTGGTCAGTGTGAGGAACTCAGTGAGACCTTGCCTCAAAAACAAAAAATAAAAAGGGCCAAGTAGGTGGCTCAGGGTTAGAAAGCCTGCTCAGCACATGCAAGGCCACGGCACGATCCCTAGCACAACCAGCCAGCCAGTGAGGATTATCCATCAGTAAGACAAAACCTGGTAACCATGGTGACCTTCACAGGATGAACCGAGATGACCGTATGGCGCTTTTTAAAATTAAAAGTATTGGAAGAATATTTAAAGACCCAGTACATAGACCTGAGAAAAATAAAAGGATACCTAGTAACATGCCATGCACGGCTGCTGGTGGCAAGGCAGGTGCCCCTGGCATGTCACTGGGACCTTACACCCATGCCTTCACTGAGGGCTCTGGGCCAATGCTTGCTGTATAGGAAGAAGGGGAGATGGGGAGGGCTGGGGCGGTGTCTGCACAGCTGGCCTTGGTCCTATGTCTCCTGCCCAAGCGTTAGCCGCCTTGGACACTGACCAATGACTGAACCTCGGTGCCTGTCCAGGTGATACCAAGGGTGCTTCTGAGTGCTCCTCTATAGAGGATGGGGGGGATGTGAGCATGCGTGTGTACGAGCGTGTATCCAATATCAGTGGGAGAATAGGCCGCAAGCCAAGGGGGTCGTGCACGCTGCTCCTCAGGGTGCCCAGGGACGTAGGCCTCCAGACAGAGCCTGAATGCTCTCAGCTGGTGGACTCCAGATGATGCTTACAGATTGCAACAGGACACACAGGAAGGTTCTGCCCACCCTAGCCGTGGCACTCTGCTTAGGGACAGGGTACGGCCTCAGCCAAGCCGCGTGCGGCTGGAGGAATCCCGCTGCTGCTAAGTGGAGGCAAGGCTCCCTCCATGAGTTGGCGGGGAACTGCCACCGCATTCTGAGAACCCCACACCTGGCCCTGTGTGGCTTAGCGGCTGCCACGTGAGCCCCGGGCTCCAAGTGTAATCGAAGCCCTGGGTGCTGCTGTAATCAAGACCACACAGCCTTCAGCCTACTCCATCTCACATCGCCCTCTGTCTAGGCCTCGCTGGAGGAAGAGACCACCCCCCGCGGGCGGCTCAGGCAACAGCAGAGGCATGGATCTGGAACTCTGCCTTCCGTCAGTGTAAGGAGCTAGCCTGGCTGGTGGCTGACACGCTGCACGGCAGGCACCCCGAAAGCTGTTCGCATGGCACAGGGTACTTGGGCCAAGCCAGCAGATCCCAGCTGTGCTGATCTGAGCCTTCTCATAGGACAGCCTAGAGGGCTGCTGGGGAGCTGCTCCTGAGGACACCACAGCCCCTGCCAGCAGCCACCTCTGCAGGGTGAATTTAGCGTTCTGGTGAGACAAAGCCAACCACAGCTGGGCGTAAGGCTGGGCTCACACAGTGTTTGGGAGAAACCACAAAGGAACTCCAAAAAAGAAGTGGGCATGACCTTATCAGCACGGCAAGTGCAGCTGTCTCTATTTCGCAGCTCGACTTTCATGGACTCACTGTTCCATGGTCTTCAAAACTATTTAATCTAAATTGGACTTTTCACTATATTGAGGGATTTTGTAGTACTGTATGTGACATGTGCGTTGTTAAAATCAGGAAGGTTTATGAGTTTAGAAAGTGGTTAAGAACATTAGAAGTGTTTTTAAAAGCGTGGGAAGGTTTATAAGGGTGTGGGAAGGTGTATAAAGCCTTAAAATATGTATTAATACTAAAATAAATATAACGTTGCTACCTGGCTGATTCTCATGTTTGTGGGGTGTCGGCGAGGTAACCTCCATGCTGTACTTGGCAACAAATCAGCACCGTGAGCAGCAGCCTGACCTCTGGCCGTGGGCAGGTGGAGCACTCGCTGCGAAGCAGATGTGCACAGAGGGCTACGTGGCCCCCCTAGCGCTTGCTCCCAGCCTCCCAGCCTGGGCCTTGCCCGTTTCCAGAAAACCCCGCGTGCTGTGTGCCAGGGGCTCTAAAGCCAGTCCCTGGACAGCTTCTTACTCACGTCTTCAAGCAACTCTGCACCTAGGACCTTCGGGGACTCAGCTGACACTGGCTTTTATTTCCTATTGCCTTTCCCAACTCTTGTATGATTCACAAACTCAACAAGGCCATGCGCTTGGAATCTACAAAGGGCCCTGAAGGGCTGCTAGCAGCAAGAGGCGGCACTACTCAGAAGGGGCCACAGCCGGGCATGGTGGTGCACACCTACCATCCCAGCACTTGGAAGACTGAGGCAGGAGGATTTCGAGTTCAAGGCTGACCTAGAGAGCAGAGTGAGATCCTGTCTTCCCCTCCTCTTCCCCAAAATAGGAAAGGACAAAGCTACTCAGCAAAGCTGGGGATGGTATGCGTGCAGGCATGTGTGTACTATTCATGCGTATGGTCTCATGCACTGCTTGAAACTTTGGGTACTGAGAGCTTCCCATGAAAGGAAGTGCACCTCAGGACATCATTTATTTATTTACTTTTTAAATTTTTTAATATTTATTTTGTCGTTTTTTTTTAATAGGACATTTTCAATAATTAATACATTGAAGACTGTTATCTTCTTGGTGGTTATCCACAGTACGAGAAGACAGGATATCCTGTCCAAACACTATTACTATAAATCTTTCTTCTCACTGAATTAAGTGAAAGTAGCTGTGTATCTATACCAACTATTCTGTATATACAGATACAAAATGGTCCTTCCTTTGCATCCCCTTTTTTTTGTTTAGTCCTGTCAGAGATGGGTATTCTATTGGCATCTAAATACTATAGGTGCTTGACTTCAGCAAAACAATCCAACACAGTCCAGCAGTCCACAACAGTAGTGGGTTACCCGCAGAAGTCACTGCCTAGAGCCTTTTACAGCTCAACATATTAACATGGCTTTACTCCATGTATCGTGTTTTTATATTTATCTGCTGGATGGTTAAGACAGGACATCATTTAATTTTTTTTTTTTTTTTTTTTTGTAGAACCAGGGTTGAACTCAGGCCCTTGCACTTGCCAGGCAGGCACTTCTTCCGCTGAGCTGTCTCCCTGGCCCCGAGGACATCATTTAAATGCCTGCCTCAACATACAACACACAGCTACCTCTTCAATGACTGAGCTGAGCAGGGTCGTGCACAGAAACAGACCAGGTACACACAGGACCAGCACACACACACAGGGAGACACAGACCAGGGCCTCTGTGTGTCCAGCTCCATGTGCCCCAACCCAGTGCAAATGGCATGGTGGAGAGCCTTTCTGGCGCTCACCACAGACTGCCAATGTGGGCAGAGAGGTGAGTAGTAAATGGGCAGTGGGCACCAAGCAGTCGGAAGGCAGAGACACCAACGCCAAGAACCGGGGCGGACTCCCAGCTCCTCTCAGTCACGGCCAGAGTAGACCCCACCGCTCCCAGACGGGCCGGCAGGAAGCTGAGTGTGGCCAGCGTGGACTTCCACCGCAGGGAAGCACGCTGCTGAGGCCAATACGGCAGCACCTCCGATGGGGAAAGCAGCTCCGTGGCCAGGGCTCTGCTTGGTGATCCTGGTGGAAGCCAGACAGAGGTACAGGACCCAGGGCCAAAGGAACACTGCACAGAGCAGCACCGGGGGTGGTGAGCCACAGCACTCAGGCCACCGCTCTTCAGAAAGCAGCAGCTCGCCAGCACTGCCTCAGCCCCTCCATGCCACGTTCTTGACCTCCCCCATGTGGGATGGCTCGCAGGGTGTGTCCCTTACCATGAGTCTTTCAGTCTGTACACTGAGAAAGACAGGCTCCCCCTCAAGAACACACACCACCAAAATGTGGTCCACACAGAGATATACCCAACCTTCAAAGGAAGGAAAGTCTGACACAAAGCACAGCAGAGAAACCTAAGGGTGTTACACTGAGATAGGGCGGGCAGGTGTAAAAACACAGCCCTGTATCAGAGGTTCCTGGAGCAGTCTAGGTCAGGGCAGAAAGCAAGGGGGTCCAGGGAACAGTTTCAGCTGGGTGTCCCCGAGCTCCGAGACGGATGTGGCAACAGCTGCACAACTTGTAGTGAAGTGCAGCACTTAGTGCACTGACCCTTGCACCTGAAAAGGCAGACACAGCAAGCTCCATATGGCGGTGAATATTTTAGCACAGTAAGAACTACTACTCTGTCCGCTGGAATTAGGAAAGGACACACAACCTTTGCTCCTCACTGTACCTTTTTCTCTGGAATCGGCACCTTTTACATCACATGCTTGTTCTACCTTTGCAAAAGAAAATGGACATCGGTCAGTGTCTGACCCTAAGGCAACTGCCTGAGTGGTGGCTGCCATGGGATGGAGACAGAAGTGGGCTGAAGCTCGCACCCAGGTGCATTGTCTATGTGCGTGCTGGTCCTGTTTGTACCTGTTTCTGTTTCCTTTCTTTCTTTTTTCTCTTTCTCTCTCTCTTTTTTTTGTGGTACTGGGATTGAACGCAGGACCTTGAGCTTGCCAGGCAAGCGCTTATTCTACTGAGCCATCTTCCTAGCCCATGTACCCGATTTGTTTCTATGCACGATCCTGCTCAGCTCAGTTGGTCACTGAAGAGGTGGCTGCATATTGTATATTGAGGCAGGCTTTTATTTATTTATTTATTTATTAAATATTTATTTATTTATTTTGTGTCTGTGAGTGGCCAGCTCAGCCCACCAGGGGGCGGGGCCGGCTGGCATGTGGTGCTGGGGATTGAACCGCGGTCCCTGCGCTTTGCTAAGCTTGCTCTGAGTAGGTGCTTTAGACCACTGAGTCATCTCGCCAGCCCGAGGCAGGCTTTTAAATGACATCCTAAGGTGCACTTATTACTTACTGACATGGAAAGCTACCAGTAGTACCCAAAATTCCCAGTGGTGCATGAGAGAGACCACATGCCTGCATGTGTACCATTCCCACCTTTGGAAGTAGCTTTGCTCTTTTCTATTTTGGGGGAAGGAGAGGTTAAGTCAGGATCTCACTCTGTACTCTAGGTCAGCCTTGAACTCAGAATCTTGCCTCAGTTTCCCACGTGCTGGGATGGTAGGTGTGCACCACATGCACGGCTGTGGCCCCTCCTGAGGGTGCTGGGGGCCTGTGCGGGACCTGCTGCTCACAGCTCTGGGGGTGGAGTGTTGGCTCCTCCCTGGGCCTACGGCAGCTACTCTGATCCTGTCTTACAGCCTCTGGACTGAGAATTTTATGTCTGTGTAGCTGGGCCAAATATGCCAACATGGATGAGCACAGTACTCATCAGAACAGCGAGTAAGTCCACAACGGCCTGGCCCTGGGGACTTCTTCAGGCGAACAATATTTTGAAGTCTGACTCTCATCTATGACAATTCCAATTTAATTACAAGTATTTCTGTCTCAAAGCAATTAAAGACATTTATCACCATCTGCTGCTACCATTACACTTTGTTGAAATAGCTTAGCAGCTATAATCCGCATGTATGCACACATACATCCAGGGAGATCATCCCGAAGATTTAGATGCCTATTCCCAGGGATTAGACAAACCCAGATGGGGCAGCAGGAATGGGGAGGAGGTGCTGCGCTGGCCTGTGCCACCCAGACAAGCCTGGCAGCTGACCCTGCAGGCTGAGACACTGGGCTGAGGACAAGACCCTGCTGGCAGTGTGCAGGGTGCAGGGCACAGAGGCACAGCTGCGGGACTGGCAACCTGTCTCTACCTGCAGGTACCTCTTAGCGAAACCCTTTATAAATAAAGATGACAAGAGAAATGCTAAAGGGATGTATCCCAACCACCATAGCGCATCCTTGTTCCTTACTTTCTCTCCCTACTACATACATTAGTTTTATAGCCACAACCTGAGGGCAGACATTCTAATTAGGTGTGGTAGAACACTCCTATCATGCTTTGGGAGGCTGAGACAGGAATGTCTTAAGTTCCTGCCCAGCCTGGGAAACGTAGCCACTTCCCAAGGGCCTGTCTCAAAACAAAAACAAAAACAAAAACAAACAAACAAAAAGAGCTAGAGATGTACCTCAGTGTGAAGGCCCTGGGTGCAATTCTAGCACTGATAAAAACAAGAATGAAAACAAAGCAGTGAGGTTCCTGTTCTGCTTCTGGGCGGGGCAGCTCTGTGGAGAGCTCAGGAGGAGTTGCTGGGGTGCTGCTGGCTGCATCTGGGAATCTGGGAGGCCCTTAGCAGGACACACAGGCTGTGTGAGGTGGGATCTGCCCACACCAACCCTGCCAACTGGACACACATGGTCTTCCAGCTGGAGGGGACTTCACACAGACTCCTGGCCCAAGAAAGCTGACTCAGCCCCTGGCAGAAGGCTCAACCCTAGCCAGGGACGTAGTTCAGCGGCATGAGGGTCTGCCCGGCAAGTGCTGCAAGGTCCCGAGTTCGAGCCCCACTACCAAAAAATAAACAAACATACAGGCTCAACCCTGAACTCAGGATCCCATACTACCTTACACAGAAGAAGAGAAGCAGTCAAGAGACGACACACAGAATTATCTTAGAATAACAAATACAGCCATGGCGATGTACACTGGGCAGGCTGAGGCAGAAGGGTCACCATGAGTCTGAGGCCAGCCTGGGCTACATAGTAAGATCCTGTGCCTGACTGACTGACTGACAGACAGACAAACAGAGCCATCAAGAAATGTAATCAGAAGGGAAAAAGGTACAGGGCTATGCTATGAGGAAAAACCAGCTACAAACAGTAGAGACACTAGAAGCATGGCTGTGGGGTGAGGACACACCATGGTGACAGACATGGGGTTCCCCAAAGAGAGGGCCTCAGGGTGGCACAGTTATAGTGATTAGGCCACTGTCACCACACCTGCACTCGACCTGCAGGTGATTCAGAGAGCCAGAGGGTATGAGGGATGCACACACAGAGGTGAAAGCACTGTCCTTTCAAAAGACGACTGAAAATAAAATCCCTCTGGTCTCTACTTCTCCTGGAGAACATCCAGGCACGGCTCCTGGCTGCTGTCCACGGCTCTCCAGTGGCTGCATCACAAGCATCATCAAAGGAGAGGGTCCCCCTGCTCCAACCCTCATGTGAGAAATGGCACCCTGGCATGCCCCACAGTCCCTCAGGAAGCCTGACGTGTAGTCGGCTCACATACAAAATCCAGACAGGGCAGCTATGAAGAACCTAAAAGATTCAAGGCTGGGGTGGGATGCAATGCCAGAGGTCCCAAGGACACAAAACTTGCAAACCCTCCAAAGCCACACTTTCAAGTGTGACCCACCGTGGCTCCCGCTGTTGAGCTTCTGTGTCTTGAGGACTTCTGGTTCCTTCCTGAACCCAGGCCCACAGCTGTGCCAGGGCCAAGTGACATTGCCCGCTTAAGGCCAAGCCTGGTCACACTGCCCATGCCGTGGCCTCTGTGTAGAGCTGGTGAGATGCCCAGGGCCACAAGCCTGCCAAGTGCCTGCTCTACCACTCAACCCCCGTCCTGCAGTGCCCAGGCAGACCCCAGCTCTGGGGCCTCCACCTGAGCCCGAGCCCAGCAGTGTGCCTGCCCTGCCCTGTCAAGCTTGGCCCTAGCCCGGCCCGGCTTCTGAGTGCTTGCCCAGCAAGCCTGCATCTCTGGAACAACTGACAACACCTGTGTATCAGCACACCAGGCACCCCCAGGGCCACCACACACTCACACAGACACCTGCGTCCCAGGCAGGAACAGGAGCAGCAGCTGGGCTGCCAATGCCTCACCAGGCCAGGCTCCTCAGTGGGAGCCCAGCTCATGCGTTTCTGGCCACCAGGTTATGTGATGTGGTCTGCCTTCAACATACCTCCACATTGAAAGTGCTCTCCTCGATTTTTCCAGCTTCTGCTTCAGGAAGAGGATTTTTTAAGGTTTGTAAAAATAAAGCTGCCTTTCTTTTGCGTTCTGCCTGGAGCTGCTTTTCCTTTGATTCCTTGGACGCTTGGGCAAGCTTTTCTCGGGCAGCAGCTGCGAGGCGGTCCTCCAGCTTCTGTTTTGCTAAAGGAACAAGAAAGAAGTGGGGTTGGGGGCAAATGTGTTTATGTCCTTCCACCTCACTTGCATAGCACCAAAAGCCACATAGCTACTCAGAAAGGGACATGACACAAATGGCAGGCTCGAGAGACACAGCAGACAACACACGGCCTCAGAGGATGAGCATGCAAGGGTGCGTTTGGGGCTGGACACAGGGTTTCCAAGTCAGCAGGCCGCGGGGCCCATACTAGTGGGGGCGGGAAAAGGGCCCCCTGGGCGTGTGCTCCACCCCGTCCCCACCAATGCTCCAGGCAGGCAACAGCTGCCCTGGAAGCATCTCGTCCCAAGGACTAGAAGCAGATGCCCAGGAAGCGTAGGTCTGGGCATTATCAGTGCTGGACAGGAAGGCACAGGGTAGACTCTGTCCTAAGGGTTGCTTTGTCTGATGGTGCACACACAGAAAAAGCAGCAAGAAACCAGCATAAACCCTGCAAATACTACTTCCATTCACTCTTTGCAGGATACACTTCCTCTTGGAGCAGGGGCCATGCTGTGGCCTAGGAAGATGAGCCAAGCAGGCAGCAAAGGCAGGTGGCTGTGCACACAGCTTCCCCGGAGGGCCTCTCCCAACCAGAGCGGGCGTGTGGGCTGAGCCTCGCCCTGAGGCTGTGTCAAAGCGCGAAGGCTTCCATCAGAGCCGGCTGGCCCAGGAGGCTCTGAGCACAGATCGCCTGCGATACTAGGGCTGTGCTCCTGAGGAGCAGGAGGGCTCCCAGCTCAGACACACCACACAATAGCTAAGTGCACGCTTGGAATTTCTGGCTTAACAGCCGCGTTTCATATTTACTTCTTTTTTTCAAGAACTTTAAAAGCTAGTGACGAACCTTGCTTTGCTTCTAGCTCCTCCTGCGTAAGTTGGGGCTTCTTTTCCTCGACAACCGCACAGGGTGGGGCCGCAGCTGGGCTAGTGTTGGCAGCACTGCTAGAACTTTCTTGGCCCTCTTTGCTTTCTTCATCATCATCACTGTCATCGTCTAGCTTAACTCGGTTTTTTTCCAGGGGAAGAAGATCATTTTCTTTGGCCTTGATTGCAAAGCTTATCGGAGCAAATGAAGCTATTGAGAAAAGGTAAGAAGTGGGATACATTTTTAGGGAGCCAGAACATGGAGCAGGACCGTCACAGGACCTGCTCTGGTGTGAGCACGGCAGTGTAGGTGGTGGCTGCAGAGTAGTACCATCTACCGCAAATAGGTGGCCTGGGTGGCCTCAGTGTCACTGAGGGCTGCAGCAGGAGACCTGCTGGGTGTCATGGGGTCACCTGCCAACTTGGCCAAGTCTTGCTAGTTTTCTCCTTTAAAAATCCCCAGCTCACCATGTAATCAAATTTTCCTCAACAGGCATCTAATGAAACTCCACCCTAGAAGGGCATCTTTACAAAGTCCCAGCCTAATGAAGAACCTGTTCTTCCAGGGCAATAGTCACATAACCCTCACCTTCACGGGTGACATTTTTACCAGGTGACTACTTCAGGACTGGCACCCTGTTAGACCAGGCTCCATGGCCACAGGAAAACTAAGTCTGTAGTGAGAGGTTGGGTGGTGCAGTTTACTTCCCATAGGACACTTGAAAAACGTTAAGAGAATGACAAAGGTCACAAGGGGAGCATCGCCCAGCCCCACCCCCAGCAAGGCTGGATCTGTTCTCTTCCATATACTAGCAACAGCTCTAGCCACAGCTAGCTGGGTGCAGTCAGAGACCTTCTGTTTAGGCATCACTGAGCTGTTATTTATGAAGGGTATTTACGTAAGCCACAGTCTGGGAATTACCCGTGCACCGCAGCTGTTCCCAGGGGGAAGTGGGGGAAGTGAAGACAGTGCCTCTGCCCCCTTGGCGCAGGGACCGCCTGCTGCCCCCAGCCACACGTGGTAGTAAGGAGAGGCTGAGGCCATTCCACCCCAAATCTGCGACACACAGCCACCTGTCACACTCAAGGATGCAGGGAGGCCACATGGCGTCTGCCCACATTTCCAGAGGGAGCCCCGAGGCTGCACAGGGCACTGAGCATGAGCGATGGGAGAGTGGCCGGCGCTCAGAGCCCTGTGCAGGACGAGCAGTCACCACACAACGCACTGTTCTTGTGTACGTTTTGATGTTTTCATGTTAAACAAAGTTTAACAAAATGAAGCTGTCACTGCCATAGCAATTCAGCCTTTAAAACACGGGGTCAAGGAACATTTTAAAATGAGAGAAGACTTCATAGAAAATGTTAATGAAATCACTCAAGGTACTAGATCAAAATATATGCAAAACATCTCAAAAACAGTTATTCCTACACCATCTTGTCCCTGAAATTAGAAAAAGGAGCAATCAACAAGGACAGTGTCAACATGCACTTTGAAGCACACCCTACCTGCACACACGCTGTGCAGGCTGCAAACAGAGAGGCCGCTCCACAGGAAGTGGGCTCAGGCAGCGCAGGGCTAGCCACAGCAAGCACCCCGCCCCCTTGCGCACTGCCGACAATGCCATGGCACGGATGGCAGGACAGACACCCACTTGAGGGACACAGACAGGCTGAAGGCTGAAGCCACTTTCTGGACTCTGCAGATCATTATGGGGACGGTCCTTCCCACAGCCGTCGGAGGAGGGTTTTCCACTGAGATTACTGAAGAGCCCGATACCTGTCCTCCCAAAGTGACCAAGAGCCTGTGTAAGCTGTAAGCTGGTGCCTCACCCGCGCTCCTCTGCCCTGAGCTTTGCTCTCCTGCGCCCCTGCATGGGGTGGACAGGACCATGCCAGGCTGGCACAAGCTGTGTGACCATCGCAGAGTCGGACCCTCAAGTCAACCCTCTTCATCCATACAACAGGCTTCCATTTCTGAGGGGACACTTAATTTACTGCTGATCTCTAACTTCAACCACAACACTCCCAACAGGAGGCCATGGAGACATGGATGGACCACGTGGAACTCTGACTACAAGTCAGGTCAGGAAAAGCCTGGATACCTTCAGCGGGCATCCTCTAAGTGTGCAGTTATGTGCACACACACCGGGACCACGCCTCGGTGTCACAGCCGCTGTTTCACTGTGCACCAAGGTCTCTCCTTGTGGACAGTACAGAAACGCTACCATTTGGAAAGTGACATTTCTTAGGATGAGGGTACACTAAAAATGTACTCACTGGCTATCTTTCTTCTTTTCCTTTTTTTTGCGGAACCAGGGATTGAAACCAAGCCCTTGTGCTTGCCAGGGAAGCACTCATTCCACTGAGCCATCTCCCTGGCCCCTATTTCTTCTTTTCTGAACCATCTTTTTCTATCTTCTGTCCAGTTTTCTCCTGTAGCACTTAATTTCCTTACTGATTTATAAGAGCTCCTGCTATAGTGAGGACATTAACCTTCATCCCCTCCAACATCAGCAGTTCCTACCAAGACACCTGCCACTTAACTTCATTTAGACCCTGCTTCCATTAGACCTGTTGATCTTTCCTTATGGCTTGACTCCATTATTTAAAAAAAAAAAAAAAAAAAAAAAAAAAAAATTACCTGTATTTCCTTCTATTTATGGTTGTTTTTTAACATTAAATACTGAATTCATTTGGAATTGCTTCTGTGTGATGTCTTATTTAATTTTTGATCAAAGTGCACAGCCTGTTTTTCCGTCTTCAATTACTATTCTGAAGGAATTTCTTTACAGTTCAGACTCAAGCGCTTGGCAGTTTTCGCCTGCTGACGTGGTAACTGATACAGATGTGGAGCCATGCTGGGGCTCCTGCCCATGCTGCCCTCCTCCACGGCTGGGCTCCATGCAGTATTCCAGCACGTCTGCTCCAATGGCCGTGGTCTGCAGCCCATGAGCCCCGACAGCAGAGAGGCCCACCGCCAATGCCCTGTTCGGTGCTGAAACAGTGCTGGCCCTTCAGGTGCACCGGCTGACCTTGGCTCTCCTAGCTTCCTGACTGCGTCTGGGCACCTCCCCAGCATCTCACATCTCAGGCCTATTGAGTGATGTTAATTTTCTATCCTATCTTGAGCCAACTTTAACATTTCTTTTTTTTTTTTTTTTTTGTACCGGGGATAGAACTCAGGACCTTCCATTTGCCAGGCAGGTGCTTAAGCTGCTGAGCTATCTCCCAGGCCCTGCATTTCATTTCTTTTCTTTTCTTTCTGAGATACAGTCTTGTTATACAGTTCAGGATGCCCTTGAGCTCACTTTGTAGCCCAGGCTGGTCTTCAACTCACAATGATCCTGCTGCCTCAGCCTCCCAAATGCTGAGATTACAAGTATCTGTCACCACACCTGGCTTGCATTTGTTTATTTTTCAGTGATCTTCCAATTCATTAAAGTTTACGAATCTATCTATCTATCTATCTATCTATCTATCTATCTATCTATCTATCTATCTCTGTACTGCACATGCACAATGACTAGGCATTTACTGGTCTTTTCTGCTTAGATTCTCACTGGTTCCCTCGTCCTGCCTGCTTTCCCTTGATGTACCTTACAGTTTTTTTCCTGGGCTCCTCTTTCCTGTCCCTCTGGCTGGGTACTAGGGTCACAGGAGCACCTTGCAAACACTGGACACAAGCTCCACCACTGAGGTACAGCACCAGCCCTCCCTGGGTTCCCAAGTCCAGCACCCGCTATGTATTTTTCTTTCAATATAGTCTTCCAGGATGGCCCTTTTATGAGGTGCCAGACTGGGCTTGAACTCAGGGTCCTTCTGTGTCAGGATCCCCACAAGCTGGGGTTACAGGTGCGCATCACTGTGCCTACAGCATTGCTCATTTATTTATTCTTTTTATGTATTTGGTACAGGATCTCACTATGCAGCTCAGACTTGCGGTGATCCTCCTTTCTCAGCTTCCCCAGGGCTGGGATTACAGACGTGCACCACGATGCCCGGACTCGGTGGCCGGCTCTGCACAGACGGGAGCAGGGCTGGTGCGGCATGTGGGGCCAGGAATCGAACCCTGGACCCTGAGCTTGCCTAAGCAGGTGCTTAGCTCACTGACAGCGCTCATTTCTGACATGCAACCCTCACCTTGTCTCAGCGCTGGCTGAGGTTCTGGAGTGCTGCCCGGCCCGAGCTCTCTGCTCCAGCACTCAGGGTGCTCCCCACGGTCTCCTGCTGCAGAGCTGCCCGCTGCAGTGGGCAGGTGCGTGCCAGAGTCGCTCTGCCCCTGGAGAGCAGCCCGCCACTACCCTCCCTGAGTCACACCTCTTCTTCTGAGATTTCTGGGAAACTAAGGCTACATCCCATCCCATCTGGTTTCAGTGTTTCCCTTGCCTTTAAGCGTGGCTGTTTCTTTCTTAGCAGTCTTCTGCAGATGGGAGATGTAGGCTGGGCCAGCGTCACAGTATTTTTGATTATGAGAACAGAGATGAATTACCAATGAGAACATGCCTTCTGCCCCTCCAGACATGCTTCGGAAGTATCCGAGCCTGTGTCCTAGCGGGTTTTCTCTGGTATGAGAAACTGGAAGTGCAATAAGGACCAAAATGTACCACAGATACTGGGAAACGGGAAGAAAATGTTCAGAAGAGAACAAGGGGGAGAGAAGGGACAAGAAAATAGAAGTAAAGCTTTTGTCAATAAAGAGGAGCTGAAAGGAGTAGGGGAGTGGGAAAGCAGCAGCAGGACAGACCATGTTCAGGGAAAGACTCCCCATGATGAACACTACCATTAACTGTATCTAATATGTGTTCAGGGCCCTGGCGATGGGGCAGGCTGTAGGCTGCAGCTGCTCTTTGTCAAGCTTCAGCTCTGAGGCCACAAAGAAGCCCTGGCCTCCCGCCCAGAGCCTCCATGGCGTCAGTGAACTGAATTCTGAACTGTCCTTCCCCTCTCTGTGAACCAAGTCCAACAGCCACTGTACTGATGGAATGGTGGCTCAGCTGTGGTCTCTACAGGGGTGGCTGCTGCCACCCCTACCTGATCTATGCCTTTTGTTTGCTTCCCTGAGAGACAAAGGTGGCCAGGAAGGGCAGGAGACAATGCATGAGCTCAGGAAGTATTCTGGACACCGAGTGCCAGTGACAGCTTTGTTCCCCACAAAGGCTCCTCTGTGAAGCAGGCACTGTGGCCCCACCACTTCCCTCCCAGCCCCTCTGCCTCAGTCTCTTCACGAGCCTACCCTGCCCTGCGTGCTTCTGCACAGTGTGGCCTGGTCACGAGCCGCTTCCCCTCAGGTTGCGACCCTTTTTCCCTTTTCTGCATGGCCCCGCTTCTTGCCAACAGACGACCACCTGCTCCCTGTCCCTTCCTGCAGTGGCTGCCCACATACACCCCCAGGACAGAGCAGGGTGCCAAGTGAGGGTGCGAGTGAACTTGAGCCTGAGGCAGTGTGTGCTGGGGGTGCTCAAGGGACCTGTGAGAGGGAAGACTGAATTTCACTGTGCCTCCATCCACACATGCACAGCGGCACAGATCTGCTGGGGACAAAACCATTCATGAAACTTTATAAACAAACAAACAAACAAATATTCCTATCACACTGCTGAACAGGGTGCTGAGCAAACACAGCTCACAGCTGGCTTTGCAACAGAGCTGCGCCCCCGCCACAGCAGAGGAGGTGTGACAGCCTGCCCCGCCCACGCCAGGGGTGCCCCGCCACAGTGGCCCTCACCTTTGACCAGCTTCCCGTCCACCGCACTCTTACTGGACGCTGCCTCCTTCTTCCCACTGGGCCCACCTCTGCCCCCCATCTCGGCGGCATCCTCAGGCAGGCTACCCTCGCCGGTGTCGCTGGGCTTCTCAGGAGCAGCTTCCGCAGGGGCCTCCTCTGGCGCAGATACAGGCTGCAGAGACATCAAGTGCACGCGTCATCACACAGGACACCAGGAGGAGAAGAGAAGGGCCATCTGCACTGCCCGTGGCACCAACCGGCCTTGGGAGCCTGGCTACCGAGAGCACTCAGCAGCCTGACTTACCTCCGTGCCTGCTAAGGGGTCAATGTTCTTGTTTGCATAAAGGGAGATAAAAGTCTGAGAAAGGAACTGATAGGCAGGCTTCACGGCTCTCTGAGGTAACTAGCAGTGAATGTCAAGAGCCTATGTCACACAGAGGGAGAGCAAAGGTGGAGGGTGGGCTGCACAGACATGGCACATAGCAGTATCCAGGGCACAGGCTTGCACTGGCACCTGGCAGCCCTGGCACTCAGCACACAGGCCGTGTCCGCTGCACACTTATTCAGCGACCACAGCACAGTACTTGAGCCTGGTCGAAAAGGAGTTACACAGAACTGAAGCCAGGATTACTACCACATGAAGAATCAGGGCAGGTGATCAGCAACACAGTGCAACCCCAAGAGGACATTTCAGTGCAGCCAGTGCAGGTCGCTTCTGGAAGGCAGGCCAGCACACACCAGAGACTTGGCAGACAGTGCCAGCTAGACAAGCCCTTCAGCCTCCAAGAGCACAGGGCTGGCCACTCTGCAGGCAGCTGGTCATGTACCTGGGTGCTGTCGCCCCCTTCCTTCTGGAGGAAGAACTGCTTTTTAAACTCATAGTAGGCGTTGTACTGGTGCCACGGCTGGAGGAACTCGAACCTGCAAATGGAGAGGCCACTCAGCAGACAAGATGAGGGTCCCAAGGCACGCCCTGGGCACACACCAGCTACCCACAGCCTCACAGGGCCCTCATCCCCCACCTACGCCCAGGAGAGACTGTAGAATGGAGTCTGATGTGGCGCAGCTCACATTCACACTTCACTACCAAAGGCACAGAATACGATTTAACTCTTTTTTATTTTTATTTTTTTTTTTGGTGGTACCAGGGATCGAACGCAGGACTTTGTGCTTGCGAGGCAAGCCTCTCTCCCCTCTCTCTCCCCCTCCCTCCTTCCCTCCCTCCCCGCTCCTACCCCTCTCACTAGGGATTGAACCAGGGCCTTTGTACTGTGCTACATCCCTGGTCCTTCTTGTTTTATTTTGAGACAGGTCTTACTAAGTCTCTAAGCTGCTCAGGCTGAGCTTGATTTTGTGTCCAGCTACACGTCCAGATTTTTAAAGAAGTGAAACAAAAGCCCCAAATCAGATTTAGCCAACATGCTAGGGCCGCAGGCATACTACTCAAGCGACCCACCAGAGTCAGGCCCACAGCCCCATGCATAAAACACTTGCTCTCACCTCTGATCATTCTTGGCACGAACGCTGGTCTCAAATTTAAGGCCATTCCGAGCAACGTACTCCGCCAGCTTGTCAATCACAGGCTGAATGTCTGGGGGTGGGGGGATGATGGCAGCCACGGGACCAAGTGCACTGTGGGGAGGAATGTGGTGAGCCTTCTCATGTCCCCAGCAGGGACAGAGCCCAGAGCTGGCGGCTGGGATCCTCATGGCATCAGAGGACACTTGGGGGAGGCTCTGAACAAACAGGCTCCCCAGCAGCAACGTGAGCAATGAATCACTGCCAATGGTGCCAATGGACTTTGACGAAAGAAAGACTATGACAGCCATGTGCAGGCTGTCTCCACACCCTGACCTGCCTCTTGGGAACAATCCAGGGTGAGTCTGTCGCATGAGAAGCCAACATGACTCTCACGACTCTTTCTGCCCGGCGTTCTCAGTACAACCAGCAAGATCATTTCTGCAGGGTGCTGGGTGTTTTGTTGGCTTTCCCAGCAGCCTCAGCGACAAAGCCTGGGGCGCATCCTGGGCACCCTGTGAGCTCAGAGGTACCTGCTTTATGAGCCCTGTCCTGTGCTGACCACTGCAGGCTCAATCATGTCCTCCCCCCACAAGGGGCCAGATGAGGGCAGCCCTGAAATGAAGGTGCAGGGGGGCAGTGAGGAGCGGCTCAGCTCCCAAGTAGCCAGACTTGATGCCAAAGACGTTCCCTATCTTTTCAAGATGAAGTCTTGCTAAAATAGCCTTGACTGAGCTCAAACCTGTGACCATCCTGCCTTGGCTTTCCGAGTAACTGGCATCTCTCAGGCATGAGCCAACATGCCCAGCTTCTTGAAAACCTTGTTTGTCAATTTCGCCTTCAAGCTTGGGCACCTAAATGCTACAGCTCCAATGACAGAGGCGGTTTAGGCCCAGGGGCCCAGACTGAGCACGTACCTTGTGGTGGTAGTGGTGGAGGTTGCCCCACTGCTGGTCTCGGCGGTGCTTGGAGGTGGCGGTGGTGTGGTCCCAGGAGGTGGTGGAGCAGTGGTCGTCACTCCTGGGGAACTGGACACGGTCACCCCAGCAGGCAGCGTGCTGTAGTAGGTGGCCACATTGATCCCCGGGGGTGGCGGTGCCAGGCAATAGGTGCCGTCAGGCAGCATGTAGTAGCTGTAGTACATGGCTGCCACAGGTGCTGTAGGGACAGCGGGGTGGCTGAGCAAGGTCAGGAACTTCTGACCCTCCACATGCATGCAGGACACAGTGCAGCAGCATCCAGCAGTGCCCAGATACCCAGGGCCGAGCAGAGAGGGAATGGCCACAGGATGTCCCAGTGCTGCAGGACTTCCTGGCAAGATCCTGGTCCCCACTTTAGGGTGTACAAGGGGAAGGGCTGTGAGCTACTGGTTGCCCTGTTCAGACACAGCTGGTTCAGAGGACCTGGGCTCTCGGCAGGCGAGGGTACTGCCTGGGTCCCATCTTCTCTGGAACCTCCCATTCCACAGAAGCCACGGCACCCGCCACACTGATGCTGTCACTCCTTCCCCTCTCCTCAGTGGCAATACACACGTCTATGTATTCTGTATACAAATGTGAACATTGAAAGGTCCCAGAACACTGGCCAACAGTCAGTAGTTCCAGAAGATTTAGACATTCTTTCTGGAAAATGGGCAAAACCAGCACCAAGAACAGGTTGCAGGAGATAACAAGAACTTCTATGTGTAATCCTATCGTAGATCAGCAGGGGTCTGGCTCCAGAGTCTAATTTCTCCTTCTCTGGGGATAGCAAAAGGATTTTCCAATGAAAGAACCATATTTTGATTTTAACTCAGTTCATTTGAAAACAGTAACACTGAAACAAACAGGGTGATCCTGCATACTAGGCAGGAAAATCTGATAGGCCCATTAACACACTGCTGTTACTGAGAACTCTTCGGAGCCCTCTGCTGCCACTCTCCGGCTCAGTGTCACAGAGACGGTGGAGACACAAAGCAGCCATCCTAACTCGTTCACGCCCTCACAGCAGTACTGCAGGCCTGTATGGGGCGGGCAGCACGGGTCTACACTCCACCTCTCTAAGCCAGCACTGAGCAGTGTGTTGGACCAGGCAACCTGAGGGCTCACACACTGGCATTTACCATGCAAAGGAGGTGGTCTGACACTCTACAACATGCGTCCTCAGTGGAGCTCCTGCTCCCACTCACTCCCCAGCAACCACCGAGTGGCTACAGATTTCTTCAGAAGAGAAAGCCAAGGCACTGAAGGGCTGCAGCTCTGGCTCTGGCCCTGGCCCTGCAGGAAGGTGTCTCTGGAAGGTGGGGACACCTTCTAGACACACTTCAGCAGGGAGGATGACCCCACTGTGACCTACCCTAAGAAACCCCAGGACATTCCAACCGTAGCCTCAGTAAGAAGGCATCTCAGCCCTAAGAACAAAACTCCTTGTAATTCAGAATCAACTAACTACCTGGCACACAGCTAAAACCTAAGGCTGTATTCAGGAACTGGAAGTGAACGGGATGTTTTCCCTCCAAAGCCCTGGGGTTGCAGTACAGACCCATGATGGGAATGCCTGGCTCCACAGCAACCCAGCTGTGCTGTAGTGTGGACTCCATCCTCGGATCCTTCACCTCCAGGCTCTAGAGGAAACGGGAAAGTTCAATCCAAACTGCATGAGAGCTTGCAGCAAGACACGTGCTGTCTCCATGTGTGAAATGAGACAAGCCCAGACCTGAAGGATGGGCCTCCTGGATGGGCCGTAGGAAAGGCGGAGAGTGGGAGCAGAAAAGCTCCACTTCAACACTGTGCTGTGCCCACCGCCAGACAGTCTGCTGCGCTTCACTTCTGTAGTGTCCCCCTCCCCCATGCTGCAATCATAGGCTGCAGAGGTGACCAGGAGTCACACCAGGTGTGGTGCCACCCACCTGTGATCCTGGCACTCGAGGGTGAGGCGGGAGGATTGCTGGAGTTCACAGCCCAGCCTTCACTATGTAGTGAGTTCAAGGCCAGGCTGTACTACATAGTGAGACCCTATCTCAAACCAACCAACCAAACAAACAGAACAAAACAAAGCACCCCTCCTAAAGAAACATCTCAGAAGAACTTTAACTGCTGAAGGGGAAACCGAATCATAGCTAAAAAGAACACACCCGCACGCTTTTAGAGGACTCGTATAAGAGGAGCCACTCGACACTGGAGCTCGTGTCTGACTTGTTTCACTCAGGGGGTCCTTATGTTGCCTAGGCTGGCCAGGAAACCTGGGCTCTAGGACGGCTCTCAAGCAGCTGGGACAACAGGGGTTCGGAAGTGCCTGGCTGGAGCCAGGCTTAGTTAGACAAGGCGATGTCCTCTAAGGAGTGCACCTGAGAAGCAGTGCGCAGCTGGGGACACGTCCACAGCGCCTGCTGCGGTACAGTGGGCTCCGAGGGGCAGCTGACCACCCACCACACGGAGCACCGCGCCACTCTTGCCTGCCCAAGCAGTGGAGAAGTCACTGATGATCTCCCAAAGCCCCCTATCTCACCTTCTTCCTGCTAAAGGTCTGAGCAAATCTGCTTCCTGAGAGCCAGCTCAGGAAGACAAGCAACCTGTGTCCATGTTAAGAATGAACACAGGTGGTCCCAGCAGTTGGGAGCTGAGGCAGGAGGATCACTGCAAGTTTGAGACCAGCCTGGGCTACAAAGTGAGCTCAAGGCCAGCCTGAATTGCACAGTAAGACCCTGTCTCTAAAAGACAGACAAGAAAGAAGAACATAGCTTTTCTAAGTTCTATGGTGGAAAATTTAGCATTAAAAAAAAAATACATATATAGTTGCATTCTCTTAATGAATAGAATGATTTGTTCTAATGGTGTTTGTAAGTAGGATCACAGGTCTGCATCTTGTACAGCAATTAACCACTGGGAAGAATGTATGCAGCGTATTATTGAAAAAAAAATAACATTTTGGTCTACAAGCTTTGAAATACTACATAAAGATAACATATGTATGTGATAGTACAAATCTGATGATGTCTGCCTATACTTGTACAGAAATTGTGTACCTAAACCCATGCAAATTTTCCTATGAAGAATTTTATTGTTATCAAAAAAAAAAAAAAAAAAAAAAAAAAAAAAAAAAAAAAAAAAAAAAAAAAAAAAAAAAAAAAAAAAAAATACAGGGGATTAAACCCGGGGCCTTTATACTGAGCCACAAGTCCAGCACAGTTTTTGTTTTTAAATTTTTTTTTTTTGAGACAGGGTCTCACTATGCAGTTCAGTCCCCAGTTCACTGTATCATTTACTTTGAGACAGGGTCTTGCGAAGGTCCCCGCTGGCAGGGACACCTCCCCCAATCCCTAGCTAGGTCCCTATCCCTGCCACGTCTTTCAGCCTCCCTTCCGGGGTCTCTAAGTCATCTGGCTCACACGCATCTGGAGCCTGTCTGAGTTCTACGGCTTTAAATCTCCCATCTACTCCAGTGACCGTAGAACTCTGGTCCCCAGCCAAACTGCGCCTGCATACTGATGCCCGCACAGCACCCCATTCGGACAACTCTGCATATTTCAGGGTGACAGTGTCCAGCAGGATCCAGGGTTTTCTCCATACCTCCCCTCTGTGCAGACCCTGTCCATGCCTCTGTCAGCTTGGACACTTCATCCCACAGCCGCGCCTGCATGGCTCTACCTTGTGCCCCTCGAAGGGCGGCCGGCACAGCAGCCTCCGTGCCCAACACCAGCAGCACTGCATCCTTGTACTCCACCTCTGTCCCCACCGCCACCTGCACAGTGCCTGGTCCACAGCAGCCCTCATCGCACTGATACTGTGCCGGCGCTGACCTCAGGAAGACCTCTGTTCCTTCCTAGATGACATGCTAAGACCATGTCCAGCTCACAAAGTAGGCGCAGCAGACCAACCCAGATCAAGAGCAGGATACCCTGACACCCTCTCTACATATCTCCACACAATGTCACCTCAGGCCAGGATAGACGGACTGCCCAGGTGAGAGCTGTCTGCACACACTGCTGCGGCGCCACCACGGGGATGTGGCGACCGATATAACATGAAGTAACCTCAGGCAGGTGGTGTGGACCGCAAGGACCCATGGGATACACGCTCGATGAGTTCCTATCATGAGTGGGAAGCAGTGGCATATGCAAAGCTATCATCATTAAAACCTAAGAACCATTTATTTCTGGAACTTTCTGTGTGTCTTTTCAGATCGTGGGTCCCATGGTGGAGAGCCTGCAGGTAGGGTCACCTCTGCTCTCCACAGGCCACCATCACACAAGGGGCTGTGCATGTCCTGGCATGCAGACTCCAGTGGTCCTACACGTGTGCAGGAGGGGCTGATGAGCAGCGCAGACCCTGCTGGGGCTGCAGGACTGCAGGAGTGGAGAAAACACACTCCTGCTGGCTAAACCACTGGTGGTAGAGAAGGAAGAGCCATGCCTGGGGTGGTCATGCACGTAACATTAGTGAGGCAAGCTGCCCAGCTGTGAGCTGCAAGAATTCCCGTCTTTTTTTTTTTTTTTGCTCCGAATGCCTTCAGGGCAGGTTTGGCTGGCTTGAGTTGTGGGGCTCGAACCACAGCAACCTGAGCCTGACTGCTTTGTTGAAGCAGCCGCTTAAAGAACTGAGCTGAGGGGCAGGCCCCCTAGAATTCCCGTCTTACTGTAAACATGATTGGCACTTGGGAAGCTGAGGCAAGAGGGTCCCCTTGAGTTCTAGGGCGGCCTGGGCTACATAGTGAGTTCAAGACCAGCCTGAACTACACTAGACTCTGTCTCAGACAAAACACACGCAAACAAAAGCCCTTATTCCGTGACACCACGGCCCCAGGGCTGTGTGAGCACAGCTGTGATGCTCCCCAACGGCACACCCCGAGGGCGCTGTTGCTACATACACCTGGCCATTTAGGTTCTGGAAGTCATCTAACGTTTATTTTGGGTCAGAGTAGGGGTTGGCAATCTTCCCCCATGAAAAGGCAGACAGTAGATATTTTTCTTTGTACACCGAAATGCGAAAGTGAGGCTACTTTATAGACACTGATTAAAACGAGAAACAAAGCCCATATTTAGCTAATATCAGGACTACACTAAGTCTTAGCTCTAGTGTTCCAGTAGCAGAGGTGCCCTATGGAGAGGGGACTCTTCTCACAGCAGAGGTGCTGCACCCAGCCTGGCCCGAAGCACGAAGCAGCCACAGGAACTGTGTGGG